GTCGAGTATATCTCATTGACAAAGAATTCAAGTGAGTGAGGTTCTTGGAAGCTTAGGATCAGTGATTGATTTGATCAGATCTTACAATTTGGACGGGCAATGTGTTATGCTGACCACTAATTGTGAGTTTCCTTGATCCTTCTCATTTCAGTGTTGTGGGATATACTTTGCTGCTGAGCTTGATTGAGTACAAGACTCTTGTGATGCGTGGTGATCTTGAAAGGGCAAATGAGGTCTTACCATCAATTCCAAAGGAGCATAAGAATAGGTTTGTTTTATCTTAGACACGTATATGACTGTAGGAAGAAAGTTTCGTAATGAATGGAATTAATGCATTTGTTTTGGTTTAGAAATTGAAACTCTTAATTAACATTTTATGAATTGTTAAGTAGATAACATTGTGAATGGTCCTATTTGCTTGCTGTCTGTGCTATGTAATGAACAGAAGTTGTCTCGTGGCTTTTTTTTTTTTTTAATGAAACAAGAGCATTGTTAATGTATATGCACATTTATATTTCTTTGATGAGGGCTAGTTAGACTTATCGTGTTCTTGTTAAACCGAATTATTGACCTATAGTTCAAGTGTTTATCAGTGACTACTTATGTGGTTGGGAAATATGTCATGTTTCTTCTGCTCGTGCCTGCCTGCTATTTTGTCTGATTAGTATTGAATCCCCCCCCCCCCCCCCCCCCCCCCAACGACCAAAAAAAAAAAAGGAAAAAGATAAGAAATTCAATACAAAAAATGCTTGAAAATTGTTTTTTCACACATCTTTTTCTATAAATTATTTTGCTTGAATGTAAACATTAAGTTGATTATGTTGTCAGTGTGGCTCGTTTCTTGGAATCGCGGGGAATGATAGAAGAAGCGTTAGAAGTTGCTACAGAATCTGATTACAGATTTGAGCTAGCCATACAGCTGGGTAAACTAGAGATAGCGAAGGTAAATGCTGCTTACTTATATATTGGGATGTGATTAGAAGCAAACATTACCTGGGCAGTTTTCTCAGTCTGGAGAAGAATCAGAATTTTGGTTCTCTTTCTTTGTGTTCAGTTTCATGCTTTGGCATAACATGTGCTGCTTATAAGTGGAACATTTTGCTATACTTGTCTACAGGAAATAGCCACATTAGCACAAAGCGAGTCTAAATGGAAGCAATTGGGTGAATTAGCTATGTCCACTGGAATGGTATTGTCTTATCCTCAATTTGTTCAGATGTCGCGTTAGCTGAAATGCATATTGATTTGCTGCTGCTTCAAAAAAAAAAAAAAAAATTTGTGAATGGTGTGTGAACTCCAGCGTGAAACAATTGTTAGTACTTAAACAAATGTATTTTTTTTGTGGTCCTGAAAACAACTTTTTGTTGACAAAACGACCTCAACTTTTTGTTGTCTTAAAGTGAATTTCTGAAATTCTTGGATGCACAAACGATTGCCATGAGGAGATAGAACTTTGATTTTCTTTCCCTTTTTACTTGAATTGGACAAAAAGCTTGCACCATTCCTCCATTCTTGAATTCTTTATAACTGTATGCTGTCATATTGCAGTTAGAGATGGCTGAGGAATGTTTAAAGCAAGCAAATGATTTGAGCGGTTTACTACTACTCTATTCTTCTCTGGGAGATGCCGAAGGAATAACTCAACTTGCATCTCTTGCCAAAGAGCATGGGAAGAACAATGTTGCATTCCTCTGTCTATTTATGTTGGGTAAATTGGAGGACTGCCTTCAGCTGTTGGTTGATAGGTAATTCTTGCTGTCACTTTATCTGGCTGGTGTACCTCTTTAACTCTGATGATTTCTGAATCACAATTTCTGTACAGCAATCGGATACCTGAAGCTGCATTGATGGCTCGTTCTTATCTTCCTAGTAAAGTGTCAGAAATTGTGGCTCTCTGGAGAAAGGACCTCAATAAGGTTGCAGTTCAATTATGATGAATTGGCTTGTGCTTGTGATTCTGTGCAGTGATGCATTATTCTCTATTTTCAAAACATGTGCAACTGAATAATGGACGAGGCACAATTAAGAACCTTACTGCAAATAATGACATCTAATATACTGATTATGATCCTTCAATTCACTGTTTTTTTCATCGAAAGTTGATATTTACAAGCTTTCATTTAGATTACAATTATATATGATTCTTCGAATTCTCATTAAAAAATTGTGTTTGCAAATTTTCTCCTAAGTCAATTCGTTAAATTTCTAAATATGTTAAACTATTTTCTATATCTAACTCCCTGTATTCGTGTTATTAATAACTCGATATATGTTGACCAACAGATGAAGAAGGGTTGCATACATTATATCTTCCTGTATTCATCGTTGTTTATTATAATTCCTTTGTTGTGTTAAAATGTGTTTACCCTCCTTTAGTTTTGAGAGCAGTCACAACTCACTTAAATTTCCCTGCTTAGTCTTCTTATTCAGTTTGGATTCTTTTTCTTTTGTTGGGACTGTAGTGGGGGCGGGTTTATCTGTCAAAATGAAGGCATGGCATATCTGTGGGGAAAGTATTATAATTCCTGCTCAAAAGGTTACATTTTCTACTTCATAGAAGTGAACTGCAAGATGTAACTTTGTTTGATTATTTTACAGCAAACTTTCTGTTCTATTCACCTGGATTGTGTGGTTTGCAGATTAATCAGAAAGCTGCAGAATCTCTGGCTGATCCTGCAGAATATCCCAATTTATTTGAGGACTGGCAAATTGCACTTGATGTTGAATCTAAAGTTGCCGAGACAATGTATGGATTTATTTATGGGTTTTATTTCCTCCTCCTTGTTTGATAAAGCTACTTGTGTATTTTACACAGATAGTCTAGCATTTAATTTATCAGTGTCATATCCCTTGTATTTTATATCATTCTGGAACACCATTATAGCTCATAACCATTCAGCTATAAGTTAGCTGTATTATATTTTTTCTTCTTTCATTTTGGAGCCTGTCATCTCAGTTATCTTTGAGGTTATGGGACAGTTTGAAGAGTATGCATTAGAGTAAACATAAAAATCTTTTTCAACATTGCAGGGGTAATTATCCTCCAGCAGCTGAATATGTACAGCATATTGATAGATCAACCGCAAGCCTTGTGGAAACTTTCAGAAACATGCAAGTGCACGAGGAAGAACCACTGGAAAATGGAAGCTTGGATCATGAGGTTCAACTCAATATGTTGTACAAATAAACTAATTGAATTTAGTGTGTTGTGCTTGATTGAACTTTAATTCAAAGGAATGAAAGCATTGAGCTTAAATAACTCACTCAGAATGCATTTCAAAGGATTACTTTATCCAGCCTGATGGAATTTTGAATTTGTTTTATAATATATGTTGTTGGAAAATAAAATAAAGAAAAATACTATTCACTTTCTGATGCTTTTGTGTCCCTTTTTATCTTTTATTTCTTGCTGAGTAAAACTTGTCAGATTTGCAAATTTTGACCAGCAATTAATGCCTTGTGGTTTTTTTTTGTTCCTTGTAAAAGTAACTTGGGCACTCATGTTTCCAACTGTATTTTTAGATTACCTGTAGTTGACTTACTCAGTCTATAAGTTGGTTTTGAGAGCTGGTTTCTGTTATTTTCTCCAGGTTGTAGAGCAGAATGAAGAGGAAGCACAAGAGGGGGGGCAAGATGATGCAGAGGAAGAGGGGCATGAGGAGAGCCAAGAAGAGGCTGTTGTGGTGGATGCTGACTCAACAGATGGTGCTGTACTAATCAACTCTAACGAGGCTGATGAAGAGTGGGGTACGAATAATGAAGGAAAACCGTCAGCCTAAAAGCGATTGGTTGGGCAAGTGTGAAATACTAGTTTTTTGGCTGGTGATTAATTGGATTTCTTTTAGTTGTCGTTCTGATTCCCTTTCTTATATTCTATATACATGCTTATTTCATTTAAGCTTATATATGTTCCCTTTCTTATATACTATTGATTTGTGTTAGTAATTAATAAATTCTACCAAATTTTATTGCTTTAAAGTTTGGTGGGTAAAAGAAGATTTACTAACAGAGACATTTTGAAGTTACAGTGGTATCTGATAGATCATCAAGAAGTCATTTATTTTGATTATGATATATAATGCATTAGAATGGAGAAATCTTTTCTTGGTTCTTTTGGTTCAGTTTTTCATTGCTAATGCTCATAGATTTTTATTTTTTATTTTTATCGGATCCTATGTCTTCTCAATCATCATCTGGTGCTTCAATTTAATTTGGTGCCTTAAAATGAACTGAATTTGCAGTTTAGCATGCCTTCTATTTCTTCTCGTGTCTCATAGGTTATTTGTTTTGTATTTTGACCATTATGCATCAGCTTTGATTTAATGACAGAGCCTTGTGTTTGCAGTGCTTACACCACGTCACTAGGTCCACTCAAGATAGCTGGTTCCTGCCGGTTGTGACTCCTTAAGGTGAGGAATTGAAGTTACGAGATTCTCATTTCTATAATAAATCCATCTGGTAGAATTTCAAATGCTTCCTATTTTGATTTTCTTGTAACATGTCCTGTTCTAGTAATCTCACATGCATATACTTTCTGAATTTTTTGGTGAATTGGCATTTGCTTGTTTATTGATTTTGGCAGCGGCATTGAGATATGAATTGTTTGCCATTTCTCTTATTCATAGCCAACAAAAATGTGTATCTTAATTTTTTGGGTGTGCTAGAAATCTATTTGCATCGAATCATTGACATCTGTAAGCAACTGAAATAAAGTTGAGGATATCTGATCTAACAAGCCTTCTCTCTGCAAATTTATTTCAGGAATCATTTAATTTTCATCTTTGGCCTTATTATTGCGACTCTTCATATTGTTTATTTATAAACTTATCTAGTATTGCGTACTTTGTTTCTTCTATTTCTGGAATAAGTTGTACTACGTAGTTCGGATAAATATACTTGGACCTGCCGATCGTTTCCATCTATTTAAATTGTTATACCGGTTCTTTGCTTGTTTTCCTGTAAAGAAAGTTAAATTCATTTTCTTTTGCCAGGTATTCTAGATGTTTCGGTAAAGTGGTGATCCAGTAATCGCGTGGTGTCATTTTGTAGCTCAATTACTTTTTGTCTTTCGAACTCATTGTAGACTTTGAAGCTACACCTTATAGTTTAGTTCACTATAGTTTTACTATATTCTTTCATGGGGCACTGTACTTAAATGTATACAACGACAGTAGGAATTACAATTCTTCAGATTTTCATACATCACATATTGTATGCTTGATTTCCCTTCTGCATGGCGCGTCTCTTTTATTATTTTTCCCTTTATAGATTGTTCATTATGTTGTAGATTATGTTTTGACTTTTGTTGACTCGTTTTGTGATTTACTTGGGTAAGAAACACTATTAGTCACTCGACTTGTAGCTAAGTTTTAGGTCTGTCAACTAACTTTATAGCTGGTATTGCAATAAATCAAACCTTTTGATAGTTGGGTCTCCAATCTTCAATGAAAAATGTAAAAGAATAATATTTTAGCTCGTGATTAGTTGACGGAATTTTGTCCTCCGTGAGTAGGGAGCTAAATATTACAAAACTAAATCTGGAAACTCAATTATCAAATGGAAATTGGAGAGAGATCGAAGTGTTGAGCTAGCCTGATCCAAGTCAAGTTGGCTTCCGTGGACAGGCTAACAGCTTTCCTTTTTTATTTTTTAAATACAATTTGAAAAGAAAAAAAAAAGGTGTTAAACACGGTGTCACGTTGGGTCGATTTGTGATGTCTCTATAACATGTTTTAGGTGATTCGATACTGTCAACTATGCAAAGAATGTGAAAATCCATTAGCTCGATTCAAAGCTAAGTGAAATATATCTCCAATCAAATACAACATCATCCAATTTTATTTTATAACTATTTTTAGTGTTTTTATATCTAGAAGTTGCTAAGAAATATGACTTTTGAAGAGTGAATAGTTGTTTCTAAGATTAAAAGGTTATTTTTGAACAAGTTTACATGATTTTTTGAGGAAATATTTCATCTTATTAGAAGAAGTTTTAGAGGAAGTGATTTGACGTTATTTTTTCAGAAAACATTTCTAAAAAAAATAATAATAATAAAATAAAATAAAATTGAATTTTTGCACCCTAAATTATTGAATAAACGCACCGTACAATTTTTTATTTATAAATCCATTTTAAGTTATATATATGCCATTTTTAGTTAAGTTCCTCCCAACTTTATCCGATCAGGAAATAAGAAAAGAAATAACAATAATAAAGACAGACTCGTAGCATATATCTCTCCCAACTTTATATATATTCCTTCTCATCTCCTTCTTTCCGCTTCACGGCCCTAGGGTTTTGACACAACCAAATACTGAAGCTTCAAATTTTAGCGAATCTCCCGACGCAAATCCCACTACTTCTCTCAGGTACCTGATTCTCTTACAGATGGCGTGTAGGTTTTTTTTTTTTTTTTTTTTTCTTA